GGGACCTGGAGGCAATGTCAGCAGTCATTGGGAAAAGCTGGGGTTACACCCCCCACAGGTAGATTGCCACTCCATCACCGGGCCACATGTAGAGACACACAACCATTCACACTCTCATTCACACCTGCGGTCAGTTTACAGTGAACGATCAACCTGGTCCGGCATGTTCTTCAGCACTGAGACTGAGTATGTGACCCACTGCACCAATTTTCCAAAAATACTGATGTGATCTAGCCTGAGGGGATCATTTTAGACAACTTAAGGTTCAACATGACCATATAAGGTATAATGTGGTCACAGCATCATAAACTTATTTTTAAAAAATATATTTCATTTGTCATTTGGGTGAAGAAACCCTGACCTCCTTTATAAGAAATATTATAATGAATCTAAATTTAACCTGTAGCTACGTGTCTCTGATCCACTTCAGACTGGAGTTAGCTTAATGCTAATGTGAATTTTTGTTTTTACCCATTGTAAAAGTGAATCTTGAAGCTAAATAACAACAGATTGTTCTGACTTACCTGTAATATCTTGTTACTTTAACTGCAGTCAGTATAGCTTTAGTGTAGTTTGGCCTGATGTGGTGGTACCTACAGGTTCAGAGTGGGGGCGCTAGGCTGTATTGACCCGGAGCTCCTGCTGGCAGAAAACATTGTGCCATAAATTTGTGTTTAAACTTGCTACCTTGAAACTTTCATCTCACGATGGACGAATCAGGAACCAAAGCACAGAACAGCTGTAGATTTCCTTCAATTAGACCTGAAATACACACACACACACACACACACACTTCAAGGGGGTGAAAACTCTCAAGAGACCATCGATGATCATTTCACAAGTACGTCCTGTCCTTGCCTCTAATGCAATTGCTTGGGGATAGTGTGTTGTCTTTGTGTGTTGCCCTTTGCATTGTGTTTGTGATGATGGTTGTGAGATATGCTTTCATATTTGTATAAACATGTCAAATACCGTTTACACTTTGACACGAACATGTGAAAAGCAAAGAAAAAAAACAAAACAAAACAAAAAAAAAAACAACAGAGAAGTCTATCTGAAAATTCTTTTCTACAACTTTAGATGCAACCAGAAATATAACTCCGGCAGGACTCTAGTGAAGAAATATTAATCTCTGAACAAACTCTAGCAAAGATAGAAAAGGAGCAACGACCAGCTCAGCTGGTTTGTCATACACCCACACTGGGGCGAATGGAAAAAGTCTTAAGTATTCCAAAGCAGTTGGGTGTGAAATTAACTTCCAGACCAGTGTTTTGTCCTCAGCGTGGTCCTCAGCTTTTCTCTGTCTCCAAGGATGTGACGTAGCAGCTGTTCTCTTCTCCCCTCCTCTCTCAGGTCCTCCTGACGTTCCGTCAAACCTTATTGGAGGGAAGGAGGAAGAGGCCGGATGAGACAGGGGCACTGAGATGGAAGCAACACGGAGGATGACAGAGGACACACATGGAAAGAGGCAGCATCAGATCAGACAAAACCACCTAGTTCCAGGACTTGAAATAATATCGATGAAGAGATCGGCCAAAGTGAAGTGTAACCTCCGTCTCTCCCGCCCTTGGCTCTGAGCATCACCACCCCGCCCCTTCTTTGGGGCTTATCTGTCCTGCAGCAGCTTGAGGGCCCGCTCGATGTTCATGCGGTGACCCACTCTGGTCACGCCCAGGTCTATCAAGTCCTCTTTCTGAAGCGAGGGCAGGTGAGCACCCTCGATCTCATTGTCCAGGAAAGCGTCCCTGTGCTCCCCCAGGTTGAGGCTCTCCAGCCAATCTGCCACGTCGTGTTTGCTCCACAGCTCCATGGGTTTGGTGGCGAAGGGCTTCCCTGACGCCGCCACGGCCTGCATCAGCGTGAGCGGCGAGGGGGATCGCGAGCTGCCGCTTCCCCCGCAGGAGGAGCTCAAGCTGTAGCCGCCGCCGCTGCCCATGGGCGGGGTGGGCAGACCAAAGACGTCGGTGAGACTGGGTGACACGTTGGGAGGCAGTGAGGAGCAGGGGGTGAGGGAGGAGGCGGAGTCTGGTGGGCTGCAGGGATGTGTCTGTGACGGGAGACTGCTGGGTGGCGTGGAGGTGAGGTTGGCAGCAGCAGTGTTATTACGCATTCCTGAGTCTTCTGGAGGAGGCCTGAGGGGAGGAGAGAGCAGATGACAGGTGAGGACACACGGGGCCGCCGCTACTGACAACAAACCTGCAGGTACCAGGTGACAGGTACCAGGTGACACTTGGACATCTTTTAGACTGTGTGACCCAGTTAAAAAAAAGTTTTTATTTCAAAATATAACAGTTTCACGTACCACAAGGCTAAATATGACACACATCCTATACTACTTAGTTCACATGTAGCGATTAGTTACAGTCTTTTAAGTTTCCAACGTTCCACATTTGATCAAAAAGTCTGTTCATCTGTACCACACGTATTCAAACTGTCGAGAACCAAAAGGCTCATCACCAAAATCTGACCCTTTTTCTGGCCCTAAGTGGTTTTGTCCGTGCAGTTATTGGTCAGGGTCCAGACTATATCTGGCTAGGTTTGCAATGGGTTTGTGGCCCAGTCTATAGGCTACATTTGAGCATCCTTATTAGACTAAATTAGTTGACATGAACCATCATCAGGTACAGAGGAGGACCAGTTTTTATTAGAGTCCATACTCAGGTCAAAGTTTAAATAAATAGTTGCTGTGTGGACCTGAAGTGAAGTGGGGCACCGTGGATTCAACAGATGAACCGCACACAACTACTAGACTAGACCAGCTGCTCACTTCAACTTCGTTTGCTACATTGAAATGTTTTTTTTTTCTGATTCACTGAGTCATATTTTAGGTCCATTGTTTATTGGTGTTGATGTGGAACAGCCTTTGGATTAAACACTTGGTTAACCTGCAGATTGGTGATTATCATCGACACACCGATTTATGTCCGTGCTTCAGTGGGTCATCACAATAAATGAGTCAGTGTGAAAATGAGAGCAAATCATTAGAGCTCATCACGTCACTGTTGAAACAACAAAATACCGCAATGCTGCACAACAGACAGTAGGTGGTATCATTCGACTGACAGACCAAATGCTGCAGCGTCTTACTGTGGGTTTAGGACTATTTGTTGAGCACAACAAAGCAACTTATCACTTGAACCTATTCAAACAAAAGGTCAGAGGTTCAATTCTGTATCCTGACGCTGAATCCCAGCCGGAGGAACAATTGAGACAATAAACGTGTCTGGGATTTTAACCGGTGCCAAATTATATTTGCTTATATTCCACTGTGGCCACTCCCAACAACGCAGCAAAGAAAAAGGTTTAATAAGTTTACACAGAGTACAAGAAAGTTAAACATCTACTGAGAGTAATTGATATTGAATTCCCAACTCTCTGGGTCCAGTTAGACAAAGATTTCTTTTTTCTAAGAAGCCTTATTTTGTTTTAATTTGCACACAGGGGGCATATATAAACTACTAGAAAAAAAACCCAAACATCACTAGCTCCAGCCACAAATTATTATTTTTTTACAACACTGTAAAAAAAAAACATGATAGAGAAAAAACTAATTTTAAAAGGCAGCAGAGAATTACAAAATCTGCTGATATACAAGTATTTAACAAATACCTAAGGATTTATATGTTGTAATATAATTACCATAAAAATACTGTGTATGTCAAGTGAAAACCCAATGAAACGGACGGCACCTGTGAAAACTCTGGACAATAACGTTTATAACTTATTGGCTAATTACTTGTGGGTCAACTAATACAAACCAACCTGAAAGAAAGGACCAATCTATGAAGGATTTAAATTTAAAAAACAAGTTCAATCCATTACTGTAAACCAATCAAATCTGCATGAAGACATAATAGGTTAAAGACTGGAGGTAAAAATGAGAACACAATTATTGAAGTTTGATGACAAAAAGTGTTACTGCTCACAGTGCCATTTTCACCACTTAAATGAAGTGATTATTACAATACACTTCAATATTTTTGCCAAGAGTCAAATCTCAAATCTCAGTGACCTATAAAAAGGTCTACAACTTGAACACCTGGTATGCACCAAATGTAAGATGGTACTATTCACACGTCCGAGAGAACATCACACAAACACAGCAACGCCACCATGGCTGGTTTTAAGAAAAAAAAAAGAGAGTCAAATATCAATATTTACTACTGTTAGAGACTTTGCCCTCACATTTCCCATTTTGCCCTGAGTGAAGAACATTAAAAAAACACACAGCAAGCCATGCAGCATGATCTCCACTTCCTCCAGCTCCCCCTGGAGAAGTTGAAGTCCTTGTCGACTACATAAGGATTCTGGTCCTAATCAATAGGCCGACGGGGCAAGTGAAGAAAGAGCAGAATCCAGGTCATGGCCGACCCTTCTCGCTCTGAAAACAAATGTTTCCACCAGCGGGGACGTGCTACATGCACAGATAAAGCTCCTTCTTCTCCTGCCGACATATGGAACGGCTCGAGGGGAAGTGGAGGAAACCGAGGGGGTCTTTCTGTTGAAATGGAACTGGGCCAGGGTCTAAAGCAACCAGAACAACTTACAGTTTCCACTTTCTTGGTCAGCATCGGCTTTTTCCACAGGACATTGTATGAATGGACAAACAGAGACACAGGACATGAGTAATAGACAGCATGTAAAAGACACACAAAATACACAGACAATATGAAATGAAACAAAACGAACAGATGGGACAACACACACACTCACACACACACACAAAATCTTAAAAGTGATCTGTCCTTGCCATCTGTCTCATCTACCACTTTTCAACATTACTTTGATTCTGCTGACTTTTTTTTCCGTTTCCTTTTCATCCTTTAATGCAGTGACATTGATTTAAACTGTAATGGCTACTCAAACCCTGAACCTTCCTGAGGAAGAAAAGAAACCTGCCACCGCACCACCTTAGTCCTTGACTGGAACCTGTCACAATCTTATTCTGTATGTAGCCACACCTATAAACTCCACTTATGTTATTTTCTTAAACGTCTCTCAAATCTGTCTTCAAACTACAGTCAAAAATGAACATGGCACTTCTAATTTAATTTGCACGTCTGTCTACAGTCTCAAGTTTATGGTGGTGATGGTGGTGGTGGTGATGGTGGTGGTGGTGGTGGTGGTGGTGGGGGTGTTGCTTCTGCATCAGCTGAGAAGAAAGTGATCCAGTGCTATTGTTATATCAGTGGTGGGAGACCTCGCCTTCGCCCTGCCCACACACATCGCATGACTACCTGCTTCTCTCAGGGAGAGCATCGAGGGTCGCTCTTCCTGGCGTGAATGGTCATGCTGCCTTTTTATACACAAAAACACACACACACACACACATATATAGACTGGGTGCTGGGTTACATAACAATGGCCTAGCAAAGCGGTGCAGCACGTGACCTGCTGCAGAAGATGATGTTGAACTCTGTTGAGGGGAAGGTCTACCATCCTCCATCACACACACACACTCTCTCTCTCGCTCTCTCTCTCACAATCTCACACACTCACTCAGTCACACGCGCACACACACACCTCCCCTGACTCAGATCTGACATCACTGCGGACCTAGAGGCTGCTCTCATCAGCTGGTTGCTAGGCAACCCTTTCGTCCACGGGCACAACCAACGCACATTTAATCTGCGTGAGGGTAACAGAGACGGATAAAAACCAAGACAGAGCAACAAATCCTCCAATAGCCAAAGAAGAGAATCTGATGTCAGATGTTAAAGCTGGTGCTGAGGCGGAGTCCATCACTACAGTGTGTGTGTGTGAGAGAGAGAGAAATAGAAAGAGTGAGCCTCACGGCAAGTGTGCAAGGGTCACAAAGCCCGTTCCACCTTTACCCTCGTCACCCCCCTCCCCCGTCCCGTCCCCCCCGACAATCTGCCTGTGTCATGTGAAAACACAGTATGTTCAGATAAATAGTGGATGAGCCCTGATTACACACAAACATTCACAGTAATTCAACCAAACCTACAGCAGTTTCGGTTGTTCAGTGACGACTGATCAGCTGTTTTTTCCCTACCATATTGTCAACCCTTGTGTACCTCGGCCAAATTTGTCCTCTGTGAGAAGGCAGAGTGTTTTCTTTCTTACTGAACACAGGAAACCTTTTCAAGGACTCACAGTTACTTCTTCTGTTAAAGGTGAGTCAGAGAGAAGCGGCCAGTCACTGCAGGGCCACAACCAGAGACATACAACTGAGCAAACTGACATTAACACGTAAGGTCGACTAAGACTCTTCAAATAACAACGTAAACAGGTTTGGAACTGTAATAGTTGGCCACAGTACATTTACAAGGCCTACGTAGACATAGGAGGAGCAGACAGTATAGTATACACAGAAATTGAAATCATTTTAATCGTCTGAACTTGCCATAAGACTGGTCACCTGTCACTGCCTGTAACTGGTAACAAAAAAAAACTAAGACACCTTATGGGATCAACCTATTGGTTTTCATATGTTTCTTGCTCTGGTGACCTCTGACACTGACTAAGGCCACGGTGACATGATATCGGCAGTGGATGGAACCTACCTGTCAAGATGGAGAGCACAGAGGAGCATGAAGTAAAAGGAGGTAAAGGAGACTGGAGGAAATGGATATGAAGATGGAGGCATGAGCTGAAAACGAAATGAGTACAAGGTGTAAAAGGTCAACAGACATGACTTTAAAAAGACAGAAGATGTAAATGAAGATTATCTAATGGAATGCTGCATGAAGCCTTGAGAATAAAAAAACAAAAACAAAACACCAGTCACCAGGGCCAGTCGTAGGCAAGTGTCAACCACCTCAGTGTCAATTACCGTAAACAGACGCAGTTGTGTTGATCTGGCAATTCTGATTAGATCAGGAGGCCTGTGCTCAGAGGGATCTTTGCTTTTTTTCCCCCTCTGCTGTCTATTCACCTCTCTGATGTGTAACGGTAAGATTCATAGAAAATGCATGAGCACAGTGAATAATTGATGGTGCTTTTTATTTCTCGCTTATACCAGGGAGTCGTTAAGCTTTACCGTGAGGTGGTTTAAACACGGGGGGCCTCTTAAAGGATTGTCCTGGCTATTGCTAATGTGACACTGTATTTATTGCCAATCAAACTCATAACAATGTTCATTTCCTAATTACCCCCTGCACTGAGTACTTCTTTGTTCTTCCAATCAAAGCGATCCACCAGTTTACTCCACGACACTCAGTCCTCATGGATTACAGCCTTTGCTGCATCAAGAAACAACTCGGACATAATTTATTTTCAGTGGCTGCTGCCAAAAACCAATGTTGTTTTTGTGGTTTTGAATTTGTGCATACAGCTCGATTATCATCAAATCAACATTTTTGTGAATTGGATTTATGGTTGATGGTCATTGCGGATTATATAATTACAGTCATATTATTTATATTAATGTCTAACTAACTATAGCACAAATATCTATTTTGATGATGAAAAAAAAAGATGAATCCAACCACGCCAGACCAGAGAAAACATAGCAAGGACCAAATCAAATAGCACTGACTGAAGAGAACAAACCAGGTGACCTGTAGCAACATCTAATTTCCCTTTACAATGAGTCAATATACAATTAAAAAAAAACAAAGATCAATTTTTACAAAGGCAGAAACACAAGCACATTTTAACTCTTTCTTAAGGCGATTCTACTCGGTCAGAAAACCAAATAGGTTTTAAACATTTTAACATTTGAAAAGAAAATACTAGAGTGGGTCCATCCAACTCAGAAGAACTAGACACTCTTTAATAATTTGCTTTAGCAACTAAACATTGCTTTTGCATACAAATCAGATTAAATCAGAACAAAGACAACAAAGGAATTGGAGAGAATCTATTTATCACCTACCTTGCTCCAAAAGCACCCCTGGTCCCAGTCGGAGAGTCGAGGCTGTCTCCTTGCTTTGATGGCCTGTCGCGATTCATATGCTGTAGAATAGAGCTCAACTCGGTGATAATGGTGTTCTTGTTGTCCGCTGTAGATGGAGGGCTGCATACATCAGGAGGCTGATCGCCCCACAGCTTTGATGTCCTTTGAGTAGGAGTCCTAGGAGGTTCCGCAGAAGCAGAGGCAGGAGCACGAGGCAG